CGAGAATTCGAAGAAGTTAAACTCCCCTTGGATCTTTTGATCTATAAGCTTGTGAAAGCTTATATTGGCTCTTCTTCTTTAAGGAAATCTGCATTGAGGGTAAATTTTATTCTCCTTTTTATTCTATTTTTCAGTTGTGAGTTAATCAGCAATTTCATGAGTATAGTAGTTTGCCTTAATTGTAATTATTTTTGGCTCAGCTTGGAAAATGATTATCCTAAACTAGCTTTTGAATTTTGATTTTTTTTTTTTCAAACTCTATTGATCATGGGCATACTTCTTCTTCAATAATGCTCAATAATTGGGATAAAAATCTTTTTATAATGGTGTTTTGATGACCTTTGTTTGAAATCAGCAAATGGCTTCTACTAACATTTAATATTAAGGAAATTCACACACCTGGCACACAATTCTAATGTATTTACATATCTCACACATATACTTTCATATTTACGCATGACAAAGCAAGAATTTTATGTAAGTTCACCCAATGATGGCTACATCATATTACTGTCATTGTAATTTTTATTATGATTTTTTCTCTTTTTTAACTTTTATTATAATTTTGGTTGTGGAGCAATTCTAATTTTTCAGATATAAGATAAAGATGACACCTCCCTCCATATAAAGAAAAATTAAGGGTGTCGAAAATATAGTAGAATCCCCCAAACACATCTTTAATAAAAGTAATTAAGATAAATTTAAAATTTTTCACTTTTTGTTTTGATTTTATATTCTTCATCAACTGCAACCACTTATATAGAACTTGAAGTGTAAAATCCAAAGAATAAGAAAACGAAAATTGAGAACACAGGAAAATTTACGAGGTTCGGCAATTTGTGCCTATGTCCTCAGGAGCGGCTATTTCACTATTCTAGAAAAGTTCAGTATATACACATAGGATTACACATTGAATATTTAGAAAAAATCAACAGATAAAATTACTAAAATACCCTTGTAACGTACCGCGGGGGCGTTGCCCCTGCACCCCCAACCTACTTAACAAAACTCCCTTGATTGGACAGATGTTTTCGCTTCACTCCGCTTGCGAGCTCCGTTCTGCTCTAGCATCTACCCCTTACCTGGTATATGAGCCATAACTAGCAGAACTCTACACTGATGTAAAATAAAGAAAAATAAAATAGAAACAGCTTTCTCATTGGAACTCAAATCACTGCATCAGGTCTATATTATTCTCGATCCATTAAAAATTTAAAGACACTCATAATATCTATTTTTCATATGTTGCAGGCTCTATCCAAGACCTTGGTGGGGCCTCAACTCTCTTATTTGCGAGAGCAGTTTGCTCTACTTGGTCCTAACAAGAGCGGCTATATCTCATTGCAGAACTTTGAGACTGTTAGTTAAATTTTCTTTTATGTTCTCTTCCTCTCAATTATATCTTATATTAATGCTGAATTCCTAATTGGAGCTGGCACACAGGCCTTGTTGAAGAACTCAACCGAAGCCATGAAGGATTCGAGGGTGCTTGACTTTGTAAACATGGTATTCCCCTTTACAATTTGCATACATGCTACTAAATTTCAGAATATTATATACGAATCACCAAAATTTTTATATTTTCTTGTATAATTCTTTATTGCCCAAAATACATCATATGAATGAGTCATAGAGATGGTTGTAAGTGATATTTAATTGAAATATTGTGTATTTAAAATATTTTGGAATTGTTTGATTTGTTATAAAAGTAAACGTAGTTTCTGTTCTTGAGTTTAGTTTAAAGAAAAATGAAATCAATATAAAATACAACCACCACGGACACAGCCGCTGGCTGGGCTTTGTGCCTATCAGCTGCAGTCGTAAAGGCCGCAGTTTGCCGTGATGGGGAAATTGCTCAAATATGTCAAATTTTGTTTCCTGAATTCTCGGCTTCCTGACATATTTACCTTCCTCGATGCAGCTGAGTTCTCTTCAGTACAGAAAGCTAGACTTTGAGGAGTTTGCTGCTGCCGCGCTAAGCGTTCATCAGCTGGAAGCATTAGATACCTGGGAGCAACAGGCTCGTAGTGCATATGAGCTCTTTGAAAAGGATGGAAATAAGCCTATCATAATTGAAGAACTTGCATCAGTATTCTTCCTCACTTCATATAAATATTTTTCATCATTTCTCCATCTACAACAGTAAAGAGAAATATTTATATTTGTTAGATATTTAATTCATTTATGTTATCAGGAGCTTGGCCTTGCACCATCCGTTCCGGTTCATGTTGTTCTCCAGGATTGGATTCGGCATTCCGACGGAAAGCTCAGTTTTTTGGGATTTGTCAGGCTTCTTCGTGGGGCATCGACGCGAATGGTGCCGAAGATTGCTGATTGAATTAGGAAATAAACTGTATTCAATCTTTAGTTGTTTATGATAAAGATAAGGAGTTTATTGTAAAAGAACCAGAATGGTAGAGGTATGCATTGTTCAGCATTCTTATCTTACCTTTTTTGTTCACTTCTTCAGACTTCACAGAAATGTACAGTTGAGAGGATAAATGAAATTTATGCTTTGAATTTGTGTTCATAAACCCTTCTTTGTTCTTTATTTTTCTATTGGAAGATTTACATACATACCTTTCAAATCCTATTCCTATGTATTTACTTAGCTAACACCAAAACTTCAATTTTTACATGGATGCCACATTTCCTAATCATTAAAGGCTGCATTTCAATTTTTTTAGTTAAAATAGTGGTATTTTTGATGTGGTATGAATTAGGGCTGTCATCAAAACGGCTCGTTGTTCGCGAACAGCTCGTGTTTTTAAACAGCTCGTGTTCGGTTCGTTCGCTAAGTTAACGGGCCGAACACGAACAGCACGAACAAATATTTGTTCGTTTTGTTCGTTCGTGTTCGGCTCATTTTGGCTCAAAATACTACTAATCAATTATATATATATTTTGATGAGTAGTATTTTAAAATAAATTAATTGATTACAACGCTACAAAGATTTATAATCAATTAAAAATATCAATTAAGAAAATAGAATAAAAATTATTAAATTAAATTCAAATGATATTTTAAATCTTTCCCCAATCCTTATCATATTATGGCTACGTGATTAATGTTGTCAAAACAACTCTTTGTTCATGAATGGCTCGTGTTCGGCTCGTTAAGTAAACTAGTTGAACACGAATACATTTTTTGAGCTTGAAATATAAACAAGCCGAACACGAGCTGAGCCCGGCTCGTTTACACCCTGATTATGAATGATTTGGATTGTAATTTGTAAAAAATAAAATTAAATTTAGGTGTTACACAATGTAAATACATAGGAATTGGGTGATTTTTTCTTATAGAGAGAAGGTTAAGTTTGTGCCTTTCAAGAAATTCTATTTACAAAATTTAGGGAAAAAAAATGATATTTTTGCCATTATAGTTTTGAGAAATTATATTCTTGTTGAGTTCCGTTGAAGAATTAATCGAGTCCAATCACTATCGACCGACGTCGAATCATGAGTTCATTGGATATTAGATTGATTAATGATACGATTTTGACTTGATTTAATTATGATTTAGGATGAAATTAAGTTTCGATCCAATCTTGTCTTGCTTCAAGTTTAATTAGGAAAGCTAAATTTGTTAACTTGATTAAAAAAAAATTAGCCTACTAAGATATGTTTCTATATATATATATATATATATATATTAAGAGACGGAAATATGTGTTTGACCGCCCTATATGTGTTAATTTAACCTAGGAGAGAGATGACTTACGCTAAAATTGTTAACCAACTGACCTCCAATTGCACATGCACGCACGCGCGCGCGCGCACACACACACACACACAATATATATATATATATATATATATATATATATAATAAAAAACCCAAGGGCTAATTTATTAAAAATGGAAAAAAATACAGAAATGTTGTATGAGAGAGCTTAAAATCTCACCTCACACAAAATAAAACATACAAAACCCAAATAAAACAAAGATACATAAAGATAAAAAACCAAAAGTCACCAAAGGACGCAAAAGTGCTAGGGACGTCCCACTTTCCTCCCTCTGCCTCTAGTTTTTGGAATTGAGTGCTAACAAATTAGTAAGGTGAGTGTCATTGCCCGAAGTAACCAAAGTATCATCCATAAGATTTCTGAGCTCAAGTAGTTCTCTATTCTTCTTCTTCCTCCTCGATGTGTAGACCTGTCATTCATCATCTGATGATTAACTCATTTGATCAATAGATTGTTCCAAAGTTGGTTGGACAGGTGTAGGTTGTTGCACAACATGATCTCCATGATCCTTAGTGACAGTTACAACTTGGTCGACCTGATGAGAGCTCGACCTGATGAGGCGGTAGTTAAACAGTATAAGTATTGCAACCTGTAATAACAGTGATAGGTTCTAGGGCAAGTGGGGTCTGAAGAATCTCATTCTCACCCATGATAGGAGATTTCAGAGGCGGCTGAATGGTTGTAAAACTGTCTGCGAGAATAATGAGGTCTTCGGGGGCATTCTTTTGATGATCAATATTGTCAATAACTTGGAGTTGATCAGGAGGAGATGAAATCACTGTCTCTGGCGGGGCACTATGCTTTTTTGGTCTGAGGTGTGGATGTAGATGGTGACATTGAAAACTAGAGTGAACGACATTTTGCAGGTCAAATTTGAGTATATATATATAAGTAGGCTCTTTGCATTTGAATATTTTTTATTTACGCTAAAAATTATTTGAATTTTGGAATAAATTTTAATTTGCGGGTCAAATTTGAGATACTTTTTTTTTTATTTGTCTTGATTTTGACTTATTATCTTGAGTTGCATTCACTGAATATATAAAAAAAAATGAAATTGTGATATAAGAATAAATTAGTGCACATCAATCATTATCATTATGTAATGCACATGGTGGGCATCACTCTACGTAGCACATTAATATTTTTCCAACCAATCATAAGAATCTAAAGACTTATTCAGGATCAAATTTATTTTAAATTTTTAAAAAATATTTTCATTTTGTGAGATTTTTTAATGTATTTTTTATTTTTTATTTCTAAAAACAAATTAAAATTTTTTTTTTAAAAGCACTCAAAATAATTTTTAGTTATTTTCAATGCTTTAAGATCAATTATATCTTAATTAAATATGTCTAATATAATTTATTTTAAATTAAAATTTAATCTAATTTAAATAATTTAAATTATTAAACACTCATGATGTTGGTTTTCTTTCATTTTTATGTACATCATTATCACTTTTAATTACAATTAATTAATGATTAATTAAGTTTTTAAGCACGTACAACGATCTGACCGGTCAATGAGTATTTATGTCTATCATCAATCAAAGACTTTGCAAGCATATATTTTGTCAAATGTGTTGAGTTAGACAAACGCTCTTATGGATAAGATGTTGACTTCAAATATAAAAGATTTTTTTTTTTTTTTTTGTATTTAATGGCTATTTTTACTTTTAAAAGCACTCGGAGTTCATCGCTCTGTGGTTTTTAATATGACGTGCTGCTTTGAAAAATGCTTCGACGCTCAACGATATTGGTCGCTACTTCGCATAGTGTTTCGTTATTCCAAAACATTGGTCGTTACTCCGCACAACGCTTCGTTTCTCTTCAACATTGGTCATTCTTCAGCAAGGTACTTCTTTAAGACGAGCAGGAGCGATCGGTGAGCAGCGGTCGACGGTGTTCTACGTCAGAAACAACAGGAAGTGGTTGTCGGATCTTCGGTGTAGAACACTAGACTTCAACCCCTCTTCACGATCCTCCTTTAAGCTCAGGACTTACTACCCTTTCATGAAAGGATATGACTCTATTTATATTCTAGGACTTCAAATAAGAAAAGAATTAAGACTGCTCCATCAGATAGCCTAAAGAGATACCTTTGATCAGACGGTGTTCTGTGAACATTTGAATGTCTTAACAGCGTCAGAATTGAGAGACCTTGGGCTTGCTCGATTCATCTCATCGTGACACTCGATTTGATTATAAGCTTATTGGATTTGAAATCTATTTAGCCTTCCAATCGGACACCATAAGCTTCCAAAAATTATTTAACTGCTTGATCTAGGCCAGATTTGATTGGATTGGGTCAACTCTGGTACCATGGTGTTTGTCTCATTGAGACGGTCAGTTTGACTATAAGTTTATTGAAATTAGAGTTATGTATGATTTTTAATTAAAACTTGGACTTTCCTTGCTCAAATAATTATCCCAAGATTCATGTCAGATAATAAAAATTTATTGACAGAGTATCAATAGGAACCACCATCCCATTCACATGTACTTGACATAGCCCCTAATGAACTTTTCTAACATTTAATATTTTACTATATCTATAAATTTATAATAAATTATGTTAGCTTTTAAATAAGTATGAAAAAATAATAATAAAAAAAATAAAATCATAATCTCCAATTATCTTTCACAAATAAATCATGGACAATGTGCCCTCCATTTACACATCACTTAAAATAAACTTGCTTAACAAAAATAAAAAAAAGTAAATGTCAATAAATAGATTATATTATTTATTTCACAACAAGCAGAGTGAAATTTTATCAACTTATTGGCTTTTATGTTCATGTTGTGCATCAATATTATTTTGTGTCAGCATTTTTTTATTTTATTTTATTTAATGTTCCTTTTTTAATAATCATTTTTTCTATTTCTACACAAACTAGTAATATAATATTGGGCATATACTCTATGGAAAAAAAAAGATCAATTTCATAGTTAATTAAATAGTTCTATATTTTATTTATCCCGAATTTAATGGATAAATTTATTTTCAGAAAAAAATTAGAAATATAATATATTTTCACTTATAATATATTATTAAATTAGAAATATTATATATAAATAAATAAATATATATATATATATCAGTGTGTGTGTGTGTTTTTGTGTAGGGAGAAAATGTAAGAAAATTTTAACAATATGTCTTATATGATATAAAAATGGTCAAATATCTCCGCTGTTATTTTATTGAAAAATTATATCGAAAATTTTATTTAAAACTTAAATGTACCTCTTATTTAAAAATGTATGTAAAAAACATTCAAAGTCAATAGAGAGATAAATTTTCAAAACACAAAGATGCTTGATCGCCTTCTAAAACATTTGATATGCAATCATCTCGAAAGTGTCTTGAATGACTATTATTAATATTTTTTCTCACACTAATAGATCTCCAAATTTGGATTCACACCTGAGGCTCCCTGATTCCTTGTTTAAAGTTGAGCTAACCTATTTGGCATGATTTCTAATACTTTCACTTCCTTTGATTCAACTCAACTCCCGAGTGTGTTTAAAACCTAACACTAAGACCAAACTTCTAGTCCATAAAAAAACATGCTTTTTTAGCTTCCTTTAAGACTTCAATTAGCTAATACATGAATTTTTTATAGGTTTAAAGGGTCGATTGGGCTTGTCTTGAGCCAACTAACTTCTATCCCCATAGATTTTTTTCTAAGTGTCATAT